AGCTCAGCGGCAAAGCGCCTGCCTGGCAAGCGCGAGGTCGTGAGTTCGATTCCCGGTACCGGGAAAAAAAAAAAAAAAAAGAAAGAAAAACCGGGGCAATGTGGACAGCAGGATAAGACTTGCTCCAGTTTCACCTGCGGGTATTCGACTGCGGGGGAGAAGAGAGAGGACAGAGAACACCCTGCCCTTTTCGCGTCTCCGCGTCAGGTTGACTCTCACACGCGAGACCGTCGGAAACTAGCCGACTCGGAGCCCCGGCCGCCAGACCGCCCGCCGCAGGGAAGCTCCTCTCCGCCTAAGATCCCCGGAAGCTTAGGGTCGCCCGGGAGACCGACGTCCGCCCCGCTCCGTGACGTCATCACCGATCGCCGGGGTCAAAGGGAACTGGGGGCGGAGTTTCCCTCACGGCCTTATAGTCTGTTCCCATGATCCTCTCCTTCTCTCCGCCATCTTCGCCCTTCCCTGCCGGCTGCCAGCATGAAGTAAGGGCCGTTCCGAATCTCAATCTGTGGCCATCCTAGCGCGCAGCGCCGCTGCGGTGTCCTGGACGCGATTTCTAGTTGCTTCCGTCACGGGCTGTTACTTTTCGTTCCAGGGTCGAGCTGTGCAGCTTCAGCGGGTACAAGATCTACCCCGGACACGGGAGGCGCTACGCCAGGACGGACGGAAAGGTAGGACGCGGCTCTTCCGGGAGCCGCAGCCCCGCGAGCGCTGGGGGAGGTCGCTGCCGCTGGCTGGCGGCCCTGACGGGCCTCGTCCCGCTCGGTGGGAGCGCCCAGTGCGTTCGGTCGCGCACGGCGCGCGGGGAGCGGTGTGTGAGCGGCGGTACGCCGCGGCGCGGGCCGGGCTCCTCGTCCTGGACTCGGTCGGGCTCTCGGGAGGCGCAGGCGCAGGGGCGGGGTCCTGGGGTCGCCACGCCGCCCTGCGTCGTTCGGGGCTGCCGTCACTTCCGGTTCCGTGACCGCCTTGGGCTCGGCTGCGGCTGCATAGAAGTTGATACGGGGGCCGCGGCTTTAGCTCAGGCGCAGCGCCTGCCTGGCAAGCGCGAGGTCGTGAGTTCGATTCCCGGGACCGGAAAAAAAAAAAAAAAACTTGATAGGACTGAAACAGGAATTTTCTAAGGCCGTGGAGGTCAGCTACTTTGATAGTTGAGTTCTGAATTTTCCACGCCAGGTTTTCCAGTTCCTAAATGCAAAATGCGAGTCCGCGTTCCTCTCCAAGAGAAATCCTCGGCAGATAAATTGGACTGTCCTGTACAGAAGAAAGCACAAGAAGGGGCAGTCGG